TTTTTAAATTTAAATAGGTTCTTAATAACATTAAAATGGGATGCTACAAAACAGATTGTTTAAACTAAATTAGCTGAGCACAAGCATTTCATGAGGGGCCAACAATAGGTAAAAAAAAAAAAAAGTTGATCTTGTGACACCTTTTGATTGATAGCCCCACTAGCTGCAATAGTAATGCACTTTCACTGTTTCAAAACCTTTGGCACAATTTATGGGGGGGGGGCTCGGATGTCCCTGTGTCCCAGTGACCTCAACCTCAGTAAATGCCTCCGATCAGCACTGTGAGCTGGAAATGAGAGACGAGCAAAAAAAAAAAACACAGGCACACAAAAAACAATGAAAGACATGAGAAAGATCGGGAACAGTTACTGCTAACAACACCATTCACTGCGGACTCTTCAGTGATCCGAACATGAATCAGACAGAAAAGGAGAGTGGCCTGAGACGAAAAATGCCTTGAGTCAGCCGGAAAACAGCCAAGCAGATGAGAAAAGCATGACAGATAAGAGGAAACGAGAATGGATTTACTATCAGTGTCACATCCCTCTGGTGTTCCCTGATGCCTCTCTGTTCCAGCTGTTTGTCAAAGAAGCCTTTAACTGCATTCAGCAATATCCAGAACACCTCGCAGCGCTCCATGTACCAGGTTAAAAGTGGTTCACAAGTTCATGCGAGTTTAAAATGTGCAGCTGATGTGAGAAGGTTTGATTCTTTGCTTCTGAGCTCACGATTTGAGACGTTCTACACATGTTATTATCATCTTTGTCTGATCTGAGAAAATTCACCTGTTTTCTTAAACAAGAACGCATCGATGCAGAGAGCATCGTTTCATGATATTTTTATTACAGTATGATGACGTCAGCCTATTATGGCATCATTGTACTCATGGTGAACTTTAGCATTTGAACTTAGTTGCTCAAGTTCAAATGCTTAGCCAACCAAGGTACTCATGTCCCTCAAGGCCTAGTATGTTGTTGTGAAGTTTGAAGACGATCCATAAAAATGGTGGGTAATATAAAGTTTTTACTGATTTTCAGATTTGATGTGAACTTGACTTTGAATTTCACCAAAATTAAATCAGCTTGAGCTGTTATTGGTGTCCACCGTCATGGAAAATTTTCAACATGATATCTTGAAAACTGGATGCTAGCTTGCTAACAGACAGACCAACATTGTTACAGGCTCCCTCCCTTTGGTGGGAGCATAAAACAGCCTTTATTCTGTTAAATGTTGGCCACAAAGTCAAATTGGGGCACTGTGCCATTATGTACAAAAAGGAGTTGACTCAGCTGGTTTTGGATGCAAAACCAAACTAAACTGTGAACTCAGTCAAATCAAACTGTAAACAGATAATGGTAATGTTAGCAGTACATCTGCCGCATAGCAAGAAGTCTTAATTGCCACATTTCATGTTTAATGTTCATGGTTTTAGTTGCTCAGCTATTAATGTTAGCTAACTTTAAAGAAAGCTTTCACAGGACTCTCTGTACTAACAGATGACCTAACTTTTGACGCTACTTTGGTATACAATAGAGTTCAGGGTCCACACTCATAAACTGAAATCATCACGCCTCCATCACCATGCTGACAGGCGTCCAAACATCTCTGCTTTGGTCTCATGTGTACAAAGGACACTGATCCAGAAGTCTTTGTGGTTTATTCAGATGCAGTTTTGTAAACCTAAGCTTGGGAGTGATGGTTCTGTTTTTTAAAGAGTAGAGGCCTTCTCCTGCCAACCCTTCCAAACAAGCCACACTTGTCCAGTCTCTTTCTAACTGTGCTGTCATTAACTTTAATGTTTAGCATGCTAACTGAGGCCTGTAGAGCCTGATATGTAGCTCCTGAGCTTTTTGCTTTCTCTGAGTGTTGCGCAGTCTGACCTTGAGATGAATTTTCTGGGACATCTATTCCTGGTGGCTGTCTTGAATGTCTTTTTTCTTGTGAATAATGTTTCTCACTGAAGAATGAATGATGTCTTCCCTCCTTGGTGTTGGGTTAAGACACACCTGAATGCTCCAGACCAGCAAACTGTTAAAACTACTTCTACTTAATTCTATTAAGCAAAACTAAGGGTTACTTAGTTTTTCACACACTGTTTCTTCATTCGGGTTATTTTGGGTAATTTCTGTTAAATAAATGATGAAACACTGTTGTTATTATCTGATTTTATCTAACTTTAAGACTTGGAAAGGAACAAATGATTTCTTTATGTCCTGATATGTAAAACGTTAAAATTATAACTAAAAGAGGGTGCTCCAAACAGCAGAGGTAATAGCACAGTTCTCCTGTGCTTGCCCAACTAACCCTTTGTTCCCCCAAAATCATTTATTAAGTCATGATGGCTCTTTTTAGTTTTATTTCTTTACATGAAAGCAGAATATTGGGTCTAAATTCTTTCCTATTGGTCTTTTGACCTGCTGGAAGGCACAGGCATGGGTCAGATAACAAGCTTTGCTGATCAGGCACTTCCTGGTACAGTATCGCTGGCCTTGGCCTGTTAAAGTGTCCCTAGAAAGGAAATCAGCCAATCTTCATGATGAGCAGCGTCAACAGACAGGAAATAGAGGAAGTTGAATGAGTTGAAAGTCGGCAGTATTTTTCGTGCCACTAAACCACCAAGTCATCAAAATCTCACTACGTGGTGACAGTGATTTACTGCTGACGGGTACCAGGAGATTAGAAATACTGAGGTCATGAATCAAAGTCAACCAACAACCTGCATTTGAAAATTCTCAGAAGTCGTGCAGACGTTTTTGAGGGTTTTTTTGTTTAGCTTCCGTAAAATTCCAAACCACTCTGTTATATCCAGACATAAAGGTATAAATCCTGTTTGAAAGCCTCCGTCACACAGCCAGGGACACTATCTGATATAGAAATTCTGAATATTTTAGAATTTCTTTTTGGCATAAGAGGATGAACTTCAGATCAATCAAAAAAATAAACGTTTTTAGGCCGATTATGCGACCTCCTCTGCCCCGAAGGCTGCAGTCCCCCCCTCGCTAAATGATCCGTATCGCCTCAGAGCTGTGGAGGCTCGATCTGAGCATAAGCGGTCTGGAGCCAAGAGGAAAATCATATATAATCCCACGGGGCCCAAATATGTTTGGATTCCCTTGATAATGCAGATGAGTTCTGGTGTGCATTTCCACTGAGCTGTAGAGGAAATGCAGCAGCACCACCCCCACACTGCTTTTTTAATTTAAGCCAGAAAAAAGAAATAATCTGGTGCTTAATTACAACTTTTGTCTTATTTTAGTCGTAAGACTAAGAGCAAAGGGTTCAGACATTTTTCATAGTGCATGTTATTTAACAGAATTCAGGGTCATTATGCTCAGCTAAATACTGAACTTAGAGGATAAAAATAAAGCAGCGATCCTGTTGCAATAGTATCGATCGGATACCAATACCAGCATTGTTATCGATAGTTAGATTGATCCAGCACTAGTGCAAACTCAGTTCAGCTTTGGTGTCATCAGTGTCAAGATGCCAGGTTGGTCCCAGGTTGGTGGTAAAGGGGTTACAAGTGAGCTGGGAACATAAGTAACGCTAAAAAATATATCTTTCCATTTCTCACTAGAACCAGAAGAAAAGTCGCTCCATCAGGCGATGGCATACTGATTTCGTAAAGGGATGTGACAATCCGTTAAAGCAGCAGTTTAATGGAACTGTTGTGCAAACTTACTATAAAACATCCTGGACACACCCTGGTGTATTCACTTCCTGTACACTATAAATACAAGCAATGTTCTTACTGAGCATAAACTGGTGCATTTAACCCAATATATATTCTGCTTTTCAAATGTAACTTTCTGATACTAAGCTATTTGGATTTTTCACACATATTGAGGAGTACATGGCCAAAAATACAAACATTGATACTAAGCACAAAGACTCACGGGACTGTAAACATTTAGCTTCTAATCTGTAATCATGTTGTGGTTATTACTTCAGTTCTGCTGTGTTTAGATTTTAATTGTTGTGGATGTGTGATGAGGTTTCGAGTGTGCATGTGGTTACAATTTGGCCACCATGACCGACGCTTCAGTAGAGATCAATGAGTCGCTGCACTGATCGCTCAGGGCTGGTACCAGAGTTCTATCTGGACGCAGCGTTTTCAGTGGGAGAAACATCCAAGTGACTTCTTCAGTCTCAGCCGACTGCAGGTTTTCCCAACCAATAAATTTGCATAATTACTGAAAGTAGCACCACTGGTGGGCTGAGAGGTCAGTTTCTTGATCATTAATACCGGTATGCAAATTGTTATGACCCTTGATTAACAACCATTGATCACTGACAATTGATCAACGGCCATGAATACCATTCACAGAGTTGGGGAATGCTTCTTTTAACATTTTAAATACTGACAAAAAAGCAATTTATGGAGACATTATTTTATTGTTTTTTAGCTCTTTTTTTTTTTTTTTTTTTTTAAATAAAGGGCATTTAGGGCAGCACGGTGGCACAGTGGTTAGCACTGTTGCCGCACAGCAAGAAGGTCCTGAGTTCAATCCCACCATCAGGCCGGGGTCTTTCTGTGTGGAGTTTGCATGTTCTCCCCGTGTTTGCGTGGGTTCTCTCCGGGTACTCCGGCTTCCTCCCACCGTCCAAAGACATGCAGCTTGTGGGGATAGGTTAATTGGATAATCCAAATTGCCACTAGGTGTGAATGTGAGTGTGAATGGTTGTCAGTCCCTATGTGTTAGCCCTGCGACAGACTGGCGACCTGTCCAGGGTGTACCCCGCCTCTCGCCCTATGACAGCTGGGATAGGCTCCAGCGCCCCCCGCGACCCTGAAAAGGATAAGCGAATGGATGGATGGATAAAGGGCATTTAACTTAAAATGAAAGAGAACTCCTAATCAACTCTAACTTGTCCTTCTCAAATAGATTTTTAATTTAACTAAAGCCAGCTTATCAAATTTTGCAGTCTGAGTTTTAAGGCTTGTCAGACAACCTGCTCATCGGCTACTAGAATATCACAAATACAAAAAAGGATATTTCTACTTTGCAACAACAAATTATTTATCTTCTGTCACCACAATATAAAGGTAAAGAACAAAAGCACAGTGGAGTCCTCACGGTGACTGAGGTGTGAAGGAAAACATGCAATTTTCAGTCTTTATGAGTTTTACTTCTGCTGAGCTAACAGAATGAGTAACTGACTTCTAGTGTAATCAGCACATCACTCGCAGTTCTTTTTATTTCTTTTGCTGCCGGTGAGCCGGACATTTGTCAGTCATTTTCCACAGAAGCGCAGAGTGAACAGACCTCCTTTGGTTTCGGTCAGATTGCTGCATCAGCTGAAAAGTTTGCAGACTGTGGTTAAATCCTGCTGATTTTTTCAAAGAACCAAACCGCCAAAATGGGAATTAATATTTCATGGGAAAGCTTTCAGTTTCATTTTAATTCAGTGGTATTTCCCGTTTACAATGCCCAATAATGTTAAACAACAGTGGTGACGGGTGGGAGAGCATCCTATGTGTCATTTGTATTGTAAGAAAAACAAATTACATAAAACACAAAGCAAAATATATTAAAAATAACACTCGATGATAATACTACATTTCAGAGTTCATGATGATAATAATATCAGGACCCTTGTGTCTTTTTACAAAATAAGCTTCAGGATGGGAAACATCCGTCTGTCCAAAAGCAACAATTATATTAATATCATATTATTAAAAAGCTTCATTATACAGTTCAGTAATACTGCTTCATCAGTTATAATGTGCAAGAAATAAAATGTTCAGAGAGAAGATTGTGCCGAGCAGCTGTGTGTTTGTGCTATTTCAAATGAAACCCCCCCGATCTTATCATCAGTCAGGCTGAACACACAAAGGAATAGGAACACACACACACACAAAAGCTATTTTTGGTTTTTAAGCCAGTAAATAAAAGCAATTAAATCAAATAACTTTGGAGTTATTTAAATGTTTTCTTTCCTGTTTTGATAAAGCTACGCTAGCCTTTTCCCTCTGCTTCCAGTATTTGTGCTAAGCTAGGCTAAACATGTCCAGCAAATGGAGGTGATCCACCTTCAGATCCGAGTCTGGATAAGACGGAGTCTTAGAAGATGAACCAGAACATAATATTGAATTAGGAGTATTGGAGCTCCCGTGGACCCTCTGCAGCGCCCAATGCTGTGCAAATCCAGTCTGTGTGTGCAACATCTACAACCCTCCGTCCCACCCCCCCAAAAAGAAAAAAATATATATAAAATTAAAAAAATTTAAAAAGAATATACAATGCATGGTTAGATACTTTACAAGAAGGAGAAGTTGTGCCAAAAAAAGAAAAAGAAAAAAAGTCTCAGGATTTTGGCTTCGTACAAGGTCACGGGCCTCTTCTCCTGTCTCCTGTCACTGTAATCCAGTGATGTGCAGACACTACTGAGGGGGAAGGAGCCAGATTCCCACCAATCTGTAAGAAGAATGATCGCTGGGCTCAGATTTTTCAAATTACGGTGGTCACCGTCTCAGATTAGGCGATTGCAGGGTCATAAAATCCTGCATTTTCTTGCCTGAGAGACATAACGGTCGACATTTTGCTCTATGACCAATCATGTTAATCTCTCACAACAACAGGAAGGCGGCGCCATATAGAAACTTCCTGGAAAAGAATGTAAACAGACAACAGCAACCAAAGTGTTATGCGTGACTCTGTCCCCCCGCTCTGCTTCACATAGCTCTCCATTAGCCTTGATAACCCTTTTCTATTTGGCACCCCATCACTACAGGTCGCTGAATTTCACTGATGCTTCACAGTCTCTGGTCACTACTTCTACTCTCTTTCTGTATAAACACCTGTTGAGAGCAAAGCAGATTCAGGCCGTGGGTCCTCCAAAATAATCCAAACAACTCTGATAACATCACTATCATGTTTAGTTATAAACAGCTTAGTGGCATTCTGCGCTTCTACTGGTCAACATCAAAGAAGTGGAAGGACCAAAGTCACAGCACTGGTTTTCGCCCATTATGACGTACCCTTTTTGTGTTCTGACCAGAGTCGACACCCTCCGTCATCTGACTGGGCCGCAATTGTACTGATAGTGAGAAGTCTAAGCTCAGGATAAAGTCTCACTAAGCTGTGTTTGATTGGTGGCCTGTTCCTCCATCTTCAAAGAACCGAAATGCTGAGGAAACCCCCCCCCCCCCAAAAGCACAGAAATGCTTTCGTCATCTAGTGCAGTGAGTCTCAATATTTTTACCCACGACTCCACCCCAGTTATTATTAATTTCTGTCAATTATTAACCAAAAAAGGGAGGAAATTTCATTTTGTGTTCATCCTCCGCATGGCCCAACACTGAGATTAAACCAATCAAACCCTGAGTCCATGTGTAAATGAACCCAATCACATGATGACTCCACCCACCAACCAGCAGCTGAGCAGTCACCTATTTGTCTGTCATCGCTGTCAACCAATCAGCCCGTGAGCTCAACAGGAAGCTCTCGGCTGCACAGCACCTCCCACTGTCGAGCGAGGAGCGAGATCAGCCTCTCTCTGCTGTCGGCTCCCGGGACAAAAATGCACCACTGCACCTCGCCCTCTGCACCCCTGCTGGCCACACCTCCTCTGGGATTAGCTTCATTGCAGCTGACAGCAAAGTGGTCCATGGTGAGGTGGCAGAGGAGGTCGGGGCCGGGCAGGTCGTCAAACACGAGAGTCAGAGCCTGGGGGTACGTCTGGTAGCCCAGCAGCACCCGGTCCAGGTCGCGGATCCTCCGGGCCTCACGCAGCTGGTACCGCTCCCTGCAGAGATTGCAACTGTCAGTAACATCCAGTTATACTTATTTCTATTAAGGAAAAAAAACAACTCATTAACTAGTGCTTTAAACATGCATTTCCAATGTATACAGGGAGTGCAGAATTATTAGGCAAGTTGTATTTTTGAGGAATAATTTTATTATTGAACAACAACCATGTTCTCAATGAACCCAAAAAACTCATTAATATCAAAGCTGAATGTTTCTGGAAGTAGTTTTTGGTTTGTTTTTAGTTTTAGCTATTTTAGGGGGATATCTGTGTGTGCAGGTGACTATTACTGTGCATAATTATTAGGCAACTTAACAAAAAACAAATATATACATACCCATTTCAATTATTTATTTTTACCAGTGAAACCAATATAACATCTCCACATTCACAAATATACATTTCTGACATTCAAAAACAAATCAGCGACCAATATAGCCACCTTTCTTTGCAAGGACACTCAAAAGCCTGCCATCCATGGATTCTGTCAGTGTTTTGATCTGTTCACCATCAACATTGCGTGCAGCACCAACCACAGCCTCCCAGACACTGTTCAGAGAGGTGTACTGTTTTCCCTCCTTGTAAATCTCACATTTGATGATGGACCACAGGTTCTCAATGGGGTTCAGATCAGGTGAACAAGGAGGCCATGTCATTAGTTTTTCTTCTTTTATACCCTTTCTTGCCAGCCATGCTGTGGAGTACTTGGACGCGTGTGATGGAGCATTGTCCTGCATGAAAATCATGTTTTTCTTGAAGGATGCAGACTTCTTCCTGTACCACTGCTTGAAGAAGGTGTCTTCCAGAAACTGGCAGTAGGACTGGGAGTTGAGCTTGACTCCATCCTCAACTCGAAAAGGCCCCACAAGCTCATCTTTGATGATACCAGCCCAAACCAGTACTCCACCTCCACCTTGCTGGCGTCTGAGTCGGACTGGAGCTCTCTGCCCTTTACCAATCCAGCCACGGGCCCATCCATCTGGCCCATCGAGACTCACTCTCATTTCATCAGTCCATAAAACCTTAGAAAAACCAGTCTTGAGATATTTCTTGGCCCAGTCTTGACGTTTCAGCTTGTGTGTCTTGTTCAGTGGTGGTCGTCTTTCAGCCTTTCTTACCTTGGCCATGTCTCTGAGTATTGCACACCTTGTGCTTTTGGGCACTCCAGTGATGTTGCAGCTCTGAAATATGGCCAAACTGGTGGCAAGTGGCATCTTGGCAGCTGCACGCTTGACTTTTCTCAGTTCATGGGCAGTTATTTTGCGCCTTGGTTTTTCCACACGCTTCTTGCGACCCTGTTGATTATTTTGAATGAAACGCTTGATTGTTCGATGATCACGCTTCAGAAGCTTTGCAATTTTGAGACTGCTGCATCCCTCTGCAAGATATCTCACTATTTTTGACTTTTCTGAGCCTGTCAAGTCCTTCTTTTGACCCATTTTGTCAAAGGAAAGGAAGTTGCCTAATAATTATGCACACCTGATATAAGGTGTTGATGTCATTAGACCACACCCCTTCTCATTACAGAGATGCACATCACCTAATATGCTTAATTGGTAGTAGGCTTTCGAGCCTATACAGCTTGGAGTAAGACAACATGCATGAAGAGGATGATGTGGACAAAATACTCATTTGCCTAATAATTCTGCACTCCCTGTACTGAGCCTGGGAATAGTCTATTTTCACATCAAAGTAAACATGTGAGGTTACTGAAACTAAGAGGCTTCTATCCACGGTGTGCAGAACACAACAGGAATGTGATGCTGGTGGTGGACTTACAACTTAAAATGGAGCGTGCAGACTGTAAAACATATTTAAAAGAATATGTGAGAATAAAGAGAACCAAAACAACAAAGGGCCAGTAAAATGTGGGATCGGGATCAGCAGGAACTGTCGGACTGAAACCTAAACAATCAAAAAGAGCCAGTATGTTACAGTTTCCTGTTCCTCTTGACAGTTTCTGAATTGATGCTTCTCCTCTTTGGCTTCATTGAGCACAGACTTGAGCTGTGTGTTTTCCTTCAGTATTTCAGACTAAGCTGTCTGCACAGTACAATCTCAGCTGGTCTCTGTCTCCTCTTCTTCCTCTTTTTCTGTTGCAGACGAGGACAAACAACGATTTTTTTTCTTGCGGCAAACTTGTGACTCAGACCAAGTTTAGGGGCGACACAGAACACAGAATTGATTTTAATTTTCTAATACCTGTTGGACTTTCCTCCCCACTTTAAGGTCGTTGTCGTGCATAATTCTGCTCTATCATAACACCCCTGTATACAGGCTGTTTGAAAAGGTTTTATTTCTTTGTTCTCACCTGGATGGAGGTTCTTTAGCGAAGTCTGGCAGTGGATAGCTGACATAGTCTTCATCCAGCAGGAACACATCGGTGCTGGTTAGGATCAGAGTCCTGGGCTGGAGAACTGGAGACCGGGCAGAGCCTAAATCAGAAGAGGAGGTGCCTGAGAGTGCAGAGCCTTGGCTGGGTGGACTGCTGGGGATCTGGACCTGGTGGAAAATAATCATAATCAAAATAGAGAAAACCAAGAAGCTCAGAAATTGAAAACAGGAATTATAAAACCAGAAAAACAAGACTGGATTTGATTCTTTATCTAGAACATCAGTTTTCAGCAACAGTCAAACAGCTTTAAGAGTTTATCACAATGTTACTGGAGGCCAAATTACTGTCATCCAAAATGCTCACAGTGTCATTATTACCACAGTAGCCCATTCACACATTTAGCAGATACAGAGGAGTGTGAACATTAACTGGAAGTCACGTTTCTATCGACATGAACATCCAACGTTGCTTCTCTTTTATAGATCCTTTTATATTCACAAGCTCATTGTGGCTGCAATTATGTGCACACTGAGTTAGCCTGAGAAGATCCTGCTTCCGCTCCTGTGTGCAACGTTTCTCTAAGAAGAAGTTCTTACCTGGAAGACCAGCAGGTACAGCAGGACGTTAAAGGAGCATGGGGAGGAGGACGCCACGCTTGCTGGAGTCTTCCTCTCTGCTACAATGAAGGTCAAATCTCCCATCTCCTCCTCACTGGGATAAATGAACTTCACCTTGCTGCTGTGGACCAGCTCGTAGTTCTGCATCTTACCTGCAGGGGGAGACATATTTACATTTGTTACGATGATCATTGCTTACTGGTGGTCTGTACAGATTTTATATTTGGTCAAAAATAATACATTACAAAAAAAACCACTTAAATAGATGTTTTTCAACATTCTTGAGTTCTTCATTTTGTACAATAAAGAGTAATCTTTACTGAATACATTGAACTATGATGTTATCTATGAAGCAACCAAGAATAAGTCCCTTCACAGTGTCATGATATATAAAAGTCTAAGAAGTCAGAGAAAATCAAGATCCATACAGAGAGGAAGTGCTGTCTGTTAAGAAGATGTGGGTTTTATACTTTAATATTATATATTCACTCTTACTAGGACAACAGATGGCACCGTTGCCCGAGTTACCCGTGCTTGTGTTGGTGAACTGCGAGTAGAAGTCCTGATCGGATGGCTCTGGAGGAGGAAGCTGCTGCTGCAGACTGAGAGCTGACATCAGCTCCTGCAGGAAAACGCTCGTGCCATAGCTGTCCCTGCTCAGACAGCACACCACATGATCTGCTGAGTGACCTACAGGAGGGAGAATCGATGGAAAGCTAAGAAAATCATACAGACATTATTTATTTATTTAAAAGCAATTCACTCTTAAAGGGGGCTCATCACATCTTTCCTTACTTTCTGTCATACAAATATACATACATAGATGGATGTGCATATTAAATATGGCCCAAAATGTAAAAGTTCAGGCTTCAAAGCTTTTTCCCCCCACTATTTCCTCATCACTCTTTGAAAAAAAAGAAAATACTCAAGAATTTCCAAGTTAAATCGCAGTTCATTCCTGGAAACTCATAACACTTTTTTCTTTTTTTTTCACAATTATTTAATTTTAATCTACCGGTAATAAATCGCCTATTTATAGGTGGAAAACCCATCACTATCATTTTCAAAGTTTGGGCGCCACTGAACAGCTGGCCCTAATCACTCTGCAGCAGGTTGACTATAGGAATGTGTCCCTACACATACAAAAACAGAACAAGCACTACTGACGCTCTCCCAGATGGTGGAGCTGATGTGCAGCTGCTGGATGTGTGACTCAGGTTTGCTTGTAACAAAGTGGGAGTTAATGTATTTTAGGCAGTTCTTTTTGTTTTAATAAATGGTATTATTTATTATTTTCCTTTAAAAAAAATTGCAGTTTCCTGTCTTTACGTGCACACACGCCTCTTGCCTTATCACCACAAATAAATTTCTATTTTATGAGAAAGTGCTGCGCGTTCAGTAAGAGGAGATAAATCTAATAGGACAGGCACACAGCTCACAGTACGAGTAAAAAAGCAAAGCTAATCTAGTTGAGTCCAAGAATAAAAATATAATGTTGGAATGTCATGAGAGAACAGGGGTAAAAGCACCCACCTACGACTCTGAAGTACTGATCAAACAGCCCAACATTGACGGCAAGCAGATCAGAGAGTCTGATGGACATACAGCAGCACAGACATGTGTCTGGATCTCCAGAGTCTGATATGTCCAACACTGACAGAAACAGACAGAAAGAAAAAAGGAATCGAGATTTAACAAAAATGATCTCAGGGACACCACTCAGAGACATATTTTATAACTCAAACAATTGCAAAAAGCGCAATAATTCAGAAAAGAAATTTCAGGAATGACTCGACACAATGATGGATAAACGTCCCGTTGACCGGGGACCAGTCACATGAGTAAATTTTACCTGAGTGATGACCCAATGTAGTGGCCGAATCCTCCAACAGGAAGTAGATTGAATCAGTGGAGAGTAGCAGACAGCAGGTGAGTTCAGTCTCAGGAGATTTGTAGAGAATCACAGACAGCCACAGCACCTGTCTCACCTCCTCCGCCTCAGACTGATATAAGTGATATATAGATTTTAAAAATGATTCATAGAATATAGAATAAAGATTTAAGACCTGTCCTAAAGTTTATTTATCTAACACAGTCACTGCAAACAGTAGTTATTAGAGTTATTAGAAAATTACTGTGTTCTGATTTGAGCTCTGTTTACAAGCAAAGTGATCACTCAGAGTGATTTCTTGTAATGCACATGCTTCAAAAAAGGGTTTCTTACCTGTGCTATATATCTGTGGAAGTAGGTGAGCAGCTGCTGCTCTCCCAGTCCAGCCATGAGCTTCAGACCCGGTGACAGACCAGGAATGAGGTGGGGAGAGGGTTGGTTCTCCTCCATGTGAAGACGGGAAGAGTCCCAGCTGTGAAAGAAAAGGAAAAAACAAAAAGAAAAACATTTCAGTCCATAAATATCTGGACAATGACACAGCTCTTTGTGGTTTTCCTCTGTCAACCACATCAAGGTGTGGTTGAAATGCAGACTTTCCGCTTTAATACAATTTTATTACTCTAGGCTTGATGCTAATATTTAAAGGCTATACCTGCTGGAGCCATGTGACTGCTTGGTATTGGTACAACAGCACTGGTCTCTGGATCTATAACGACCTGAGGACACAACAACAGAGCTGTAATACTTGGAAAAGAAACCAGAAGAGGTCAAACAAAATGAAAAAAAATAGAGTCTGGTCTTCACCTTGTGAGAACTCACCTTGCTGTGAACAGAGCCTGGAGGGCCGGGGCAGGGCCACCACCTTCAGCCCCTCCAGAGCAGACCTTCGTTGGCTCAGCAACCCCAGAAAGGAGCTCTTGTTCTGGACCAGAGGAAAGCACACCAGCAGCCTGTGATCACCCAGCAGCAGCTCCACAGTGTGACTCCTCCTAGTGGACACAATACGATGATGGAAAAAAAGAGATTCACACAGATTTAAAGAAAGAAAATCAAGGAAAAAAATGTTTTGTTTATTGCTGTTTATTTTTATTTATAGTATTTATACAAAAGATTCAACTTAAAGAGTTTCAAATTAGGTTATGGAATAAATAAATAGTAGAGATTCATGATTTTAAATCTGGAGGAATCACACTAAGTTGAATATGATTAATTTGTAAAGCAATCTACTGATTAGACACGGCATAACCACAATTAATCATAATATAAAAACCATCAATGTAGCCATCATTTCAAATACAAAGATATTTTTTGTAGATAAGGTCAGAGTTGGCTTAAAGAAACTCTATTAAATAAATCATTGCTGTGTTGTGGTTTTATGACACTAAAAACAACACATTCCAGTTATATACATTTATACATTTATGTAAACGCTCCAACAGGCATAATGGTTAATAATAACAGCTTTTTCTTGTCCCTGAACTTCACATCATCTTTTTTTCCTCAGGTGCTGAAATATATTCAGATTTCTTTGCTTTGTTCTAATAATTTTATATAAACTAATGAAATTATCGATTTAGAACATAAACATACATGTCAGAGTTCAAGTCTAGAGTTACACCATCCACTCGCACCATCTTTACCTCTGGGGATGTTGTGGGTCTGAGCAGGATGTATTGCTGACTTTGTCCCCCACCTGAGCATCTCTCTCTCTGGGGTGAAGCACCACAGAGCCGAGGGCTACACGGACTAGCCTACAAAAGGAGGAGGAGAGATGACGAAGGCCAGCACTGGGCTTCTCTATTTCTGACAGCTCTCTGAAGTCCATCTTCAGCACCCACAGTTGTCGGTGGGTGAGGAAGAGCAGAGAGGGAAGGCTGGGCTCCTCAGATAAGATGTCTGAAAGGAGGAGATTAGTGTTGAGGGCAGATGACGAAGAGGAGGGCATGAAGAGGACGGGATAGCCTCCCTGCGCCCCTTGACTTTCCTCCAGCTCCCAGGAGTTGATGAGTGAGCGAGGAAGGAGTTGACAAGTGTTGGAGAGCTCTGGGTCAACCTGGAAGAAAGAAGGCATGTTCCTGTTTCTAAATATGACTTATGGTAAGTTAATAAAATAAACTCACAGGTCTATTTTTATCTTTAAAAATGCAATCAAAGAATCTGAAATGGATAAAATGCAATACAAATACAAATATTCAAAACCACTGACTGCATCTGAATATTAAACTGAGGCGGCTTATGTGTCGCTCTCTGACCTGAAGCAGCACCGTGAGCTCAGATCTAATATGCTGAAGCTCCTCAACCTCAGAGAAGATGTAGAACCAACGGGCTGGTTTTTCTTGCAGTCCAAAAGCAAGACAGGAGTCTGGGAGCTCAGCTTGGGAAGAGAGTGACAGCTGAGGGTACGGGAGCAGGAGGTCCACCTGGAGGCTGAACAGCACTTCCTCCAAAGGCAGAGTCAGATCTTGGTCTACAGACAGAAAAACAAAACACACATCTTAATATTTTACTCAATATTACAGCACTACACATCATGCATTTGCAGTGTTCTCTCAAAGGTTTAACACATAAAGATATGCCATATAATAAAAAAATAAAAATCCTTATATTTAAGAAGCCAAACCATCCAGTGTTTACAATTTGCAAATTAAACCTTGTGAGATTTTTTTTAATATCTTTCTCATCAGATCGGGTTGGAAACCAACAGTGACATCAAAATCTAGTTAGTCTCAGTTAATTTATAACAGAAGTGTTGTAGAAGTTAACTAGATTTCTTCTAAATCGAATTTGTGCTTCAGATGGAGATAAAAATGACAAAACAGCTTCCAAGTTTGCTCCAGTCTGCATGTAAACTGTGTGCTTACCCATGTTCTGATTGGCCCTTGTGAAATCATGTGATGAGCACAGCAGGCCCAACAGTTGGTCCGCAAGCACCAGGCATGCCACCTTCTGCTTCACCTCCTCCTCCTCCACCTGAACACAGTAGCACCACAGAACCCGGCGGACTTGGACCTCTTCCTGTTTCTCCTCACTCTGCTCCTCCTGATGGCCACCAGGCTCCTTTGCAGTAGGAGCAGGGAGCGACATGAAGGAGGGGCCGACCAGCTCCTCCACAGAATCATCCAGACTCATCTCAAAGTAGCCATCAGTGGACCCTAGACTGGAGTGATAAACACAGAATGAGCTAAAAGTCATCTTCAGGTCTTGTTTATAAGTTGATTATCTAAAATGATCTGTCTGTTGTTATAAATATGCATCCAAAGGATCATTTCTCTAATAACTTTTAAAAACAGCTGGAATATAACACTGATCTGATGAATTATAGAGGATTTCACACACAGTAAAGAAATTTTAGAATCTCAGAAACCCCTTGACTCTGCAGATTCAGTGGGAATCTCTGGAATCCTCAAATTCAGTAACAGAATATATCTGGTTTAAATACCTGGGGCTGCCCACTTCAGTGCCCTCTACATGAGACTGAACTTCTCTGGATTCAGAGCTCTTCTCTTCCTCCCTCTCCTGCTCCTTCTCTTCCCCCTCCTTCTTCAACTTCTGCTGCCTTAGGGTGGAGCTGAGATGCTGCGTAAGCTGGGTGATGAAGTCCTTGTTGGAGGAGGAAAGGGAAAGCAGGTGAGAAGGAAGCAGAGGACACCAGGCAGCACTGCACGAGGAGCAACTGGCCTCAACGGGTCTGGATGAGGAAGAGGAGCAGACACAACTGGAGGGGGGAGAGAGGAGAAACAGATGTGTTTTTATTGCTTTTGTTTAATATAAGATAAAAATGTCAGCTCATAAATACTGTTACCACAGCTTGGTTTAGCTCATCCTGCTTATGTGTTAACTGTGAGATAAATACAAGCTCACTGAAAATACTCTTATCACCAAAAAGAGGATGATGGTTACGCCCCTTACCCACAAGTCACGGGTCACAAACCTGTTTAATACTGTGCTGTTGCTGAAATATGAATTCAGGGAGCATATTTACAATCCCCAATTCCCAACGGCTTCAGGAGTGTGTTGGCAGGTCTATCTAAATGGTGAATGGACTGGTTCTACTCTCCTTGAGAACTCAAAGCACTTTAAAACCACATATCTCTAATCATATTTCAAGTAATTATCATCATAGTAAAAATGTAGGTAAGTGTGCTTTTTACGTTTTCTTATTGTATGTGTAATCAGCGTGGCATTTTGTCCACGGCTCTGATTGGAGGAGCCAGAGACACTCACCCTGGACTGAGCCAATAATGTCATCTCAAGCACTATACAAGTAAGACTGGAGGATAGCCTTATTTCCCCTCTCAGTTTATTATTTTAATCAGGCCTGACTGGTGAATGAATATATAGATGCACATTTTTGTTGGTTTGTTTTTTAATGTAAAGCTTTGCTTCTATCCCAACTCATTTACACAGGAACATCCAAATATGAACAGAAAACCAAGATTGGCAAGACTGCTGTCGTTGAATAGTGAGACTTTTACAAAGACTTATTCACTCACATTTCTGCTGTTGAATTATTGTCACTGAAACTCAATAACCTCCGTATATATTAGATGTTAAAAGCCAATTTTAATTTTAAATGTTATGGTAACAGCACTATTATCTGATACTGACCATACAGTAGCAGAAGTAGAAGTAGTAACAGTAGTAATGCTTGTAGAAGCCCCAGAGTGAGTGTGTTCAGACAAACTGACAACCGGCTGTTGCATCTGAAAACACAAAGACACACAACAATAAAGATCAGCTGACTCTAAACAAGATCTACCTCCACCTGAACACCTCACGTGCAGTCTTGTGCTTTCACCTGTCCAAAGTGATAATATCATAAGAATTTTACCGTGTTCCTTTGATGTGTTTGCATTCTTTAAAATTAGCAGCAACCCTCAAACATATCAGGAAGATTTTAAAGTAATACATGTAATTTAAGATCATTTATAATTAAGTAACCAATACTACCCCTCCCATCTAACCAAACACTTCCCCTTCTAACTAATATCCTATTGGTGTGATGGTAACAGACCCCTCCCATTTCCGATGCTTGTGTGTGTTTAACCTGTGCAGAGTCAGCAGACGGGAGATGTGTGTTGGTGCTAAAGCTTGCAGAGGGAGGTGTAGGATCCACAGGAGGGGGAACACTGGGGGGAACTGGGGCTTCTTCTCTGTTCGTCATATCTGAAACAGGACAGCAAACACATCAGCGATGCTGGGGGTGAAATCATTGGCAGGTGTGATACCCTTGGTTTGAGGGTATCACATCTTGGTTAAAAGATAAATCATTTAAATTTAAGTACATAAACTTCTAGTAACAAATGGAATTACGTTCCACAAAATAATAGCCATAAATAAGGATCAGCAAACATGCTTAAATGTTTAGTTTTAAAAGATTAGTGTCCACATCTTGTAAAAAGGTGGTTAATGAACAGGTGTCACGGGAACTACAGCAAAACATTAATGTCAGCAGTGGTATTATCAAGCTATAACCTCTGGGGCTGAAAAATGAAGCCAATCCAGAAACTGTAAAAACTGCAGTTTCTCTAACAGCCACATGAGGCTGGCTCCATAACTGAGTCAATCCTTATAGACTCCCATGTTATAATGGTCAAATTCTATTGAACTCCACCTCCTTCATAACCACTATATTATCTATCTATTGATCTATATCGATATCGATAGATATACACATATACACACATATGTATGCATGTATGCATATAATGTCCACCAGCTGTTTATTTGTCCCTTCAATGAAGATGATGCCTCCATTCCTGATGTAACATGGAAACAGATGATACCAGCAGTAATTCAGAGGTCTGGAATCAGGCTTTTTTTAATGGTTTTTGTTGTGAGATATAGCAAGATTTTATTTAAGAATTAAAAAGAGTGAAAATTAAGTGTTATGAGAGCTGTTAATTTCCAAGTCTGAGCTGGAGGAAAGGCTTTACAGTTTGGTTCAGAGAGACTTGTCTTTATTTAGAAAGCGTCTCCAAACCAGAGGACAGAAAGCTGTTAGAGCAGTTTATGAGCTTTACATTGTGTGCAGTTTCATCACTGTTCCACTTAGCCGCGTTTTATGTATGTGGCTAGAGACGCATGACTGACAGAAAAGTTCAGGATATCCTCAACAGAAATGATCTTTACTGACTCATCCACTTATATCTGACTTAGCTTAAAGAGTCAAAAGTAGCGGAGACCCGGCATATTGTCAGCTGAGGTAAACAGCAGATGGACAGCCTACACTCACTACAGGTGAACTGCAGCCTGAGTTTTGAAGTGACTCAGGGGTAAAAACATAAAATACCAGAAAACATTTTTGCACACCCATGTCTTTTTATTATTCCTGATTTATTTAGTATGTGGTCCCTCGTTTATCACGGGAGTTACATTCTAAAAATAACCCGCGATAGGTGAAATCCGCAAAGTAGCCAAGTTTAATTTTTTTCAATTATTATAGATGTTTTAAGGCTGTAAAACCCCTCACTACACACTTTAAACACTTTTCTCAGACAGGCATCAACATTTTCACACTATTCTCTCTTGTTTAAAAACTCTCAAAGTTCAAACCTTCGTAGAAAAATAAGTCCAGTATTATAGAATGAAACCAAAAGCACCCGCAGGTGACGACGTTTCGTCAACATTGTTGTGTTTGTTGGGGAGAAAACTTACAAACATACAGTACAGCACTTCAGAGTCACACTGCTAGCGATCGAAGATTTGTGTAAATTTGACAAGCTGGATGCATCCTGTATTGACAGGAGACACGGCACGAGATTGATTGACAATGGTCTACAGCCAATCAGGACGGAGAACACAATGCGCTGTAAAAAAACAAAAAAACAAAAAAAAAAACAACATGCAAAATTGCACACAAAAAAGTCTGCGAAACAGCGAGGCCGCGAAAGGTGAACCGTGTTATAGCGAGGGACCACTGTACTTATATTCAATTATTTATTTATTTATTTTTTACACAAACGGTAGCAGCAGAAGGTTGACCGGCCGTGGCAATTATGAGGTACATTTTACATTTTATATTTTTTAACTCTTTACTGACTGAAGCATGTTTGTCCTATCACAGCCACCGTAGCTAGGATTATGCACTTTAATTAGGAGGGGCATTAAATCAGTTGACTGCAATCTGATATCTGCTAGTGATCTAGCAGTGAGATTTTACACACTGTAATAAAATGCAACAATTGCTTTTAGGCATGGATTCAACATCATATCTGCTTTGTAGGAAACTCAAGGATGCCGTAAAAAGAAATTTCTAAAACTCAACTCAAACGTATTCATTTCACAATAACTTAACTAGTTTGTTGATCAACGCCCAATTTATAAATGATTTAGAAGTAGTATTGAACCATCTGGCTGTTGTCCTTTATTAGAAACAAAAACAAACATCCCCTCCCTCAGCATGGCACAGCCTGATACATACATGATTACCTTTGCTGGGGCAGGCAGCCTGCTGGGCCGAAGAGGTAGAAGAGGAAGAGGAGGAGGATGTGACAGCAGCGGGAGGAGCGACAGAAGAGGGAGAGCAGGTGGATGGGAGAGGAGAGGAGGCCGGGAGAGGGGAGGGGGAGGAGGAGGAGAGGAGAGGAGGTACAGCAGCAGAAAGCCTGGTCTCCTCACTGATCTGACGGGAGGACAGAGAGGGGGGAAGCCTTCAGAGATCAGCAGTCATCTACATATCACATCACAACTCTACGACCAGCAGCTCCTTCAGCTGCAGAGCAACAAATGACCTTTTTTTTTTTTTTTTTTTTAAAGATCTAAAGACAATCTCTGATGATATATAAACAAAAAAACATAAAAACCAAACTATCTGTAGCAGTCTGGTGCCACTGTATAACAGTGAAGTTAATGAGCTAAATCTGTGTGCCTATAGTTTAACAACTGACAGGTTTTGTAGCTTTAACTCTTTCTTCTATAAAGAGTTTTAAGGGTTATTCCTATTAGGCTTCCAAGGGTTCAACAGTTAACAAACTACAGTGAATATTCTGTGTGCCTCTCTTTTTTTTGCTATTTTGTTCCTATAGACAGGCTTTGTAAATGTGAAGAGATATTAAAATATCTGGGTTCCCAGTCAATGACTTTTAAACATTGTCATTTAAACAGGAATCAGCTTAATATTTTTAAAATTTCTTAAGTGGTGTCAAGATACATGTATGAGGACTTAGGGCATATATCAAGTCATGCACACAGAGTCAGTTATGACCCTTTGCTAAGCCTACTGCATGTTTTAGAATTAGTGTTAGTAAAATACTCCGGACTCTATTATGGCTTTGTTTAAATGAGACGAGATGCATTATTATTATTATTACATGTATTTCATGAATAATAAACGAGCTGTAATTTGGCTAAAGTTTGGTCAGTGTTTGTAGCCTGTGTGAGAAACCTTTGAAGCTTTGCAGGCCGTTATGAGTAAAGACTACTTTGGAGGCTAAATCTCCAAACAGCAACCCTAAGTCATTCAGAAAGTCCTTACCTGACCTGAATTTGTTAAACTTGTTACCTTCCTTCCTGTGATACATACATGTCCTGATGCACTACGCAAAAGCTGCTTAAACACAGATTTAGCTCATAAATCAGTTATGTTGCAGTGTGTTAGTTTTTATCTCCACACTGAACGATTTATTTATATTTGATGCATTTTGAATAATTCTGCTGCTGATGTGCAATATGTGTTCAATCAGAAAATGTTAGCATGAAGGTGGTGTCCAACTGCAATTCCTTATTTACCAAGAAAACTACACAGCGCCTTACACTGAATAATTAGCATTAATACCTAATAAAACCTCTGCTAAACTTTCAAGGCTTCAGCCGTTAGTAAATAATACGATGTCAGAAAAACTATGTTAGTTACATCTAACTGGTGGGTTTGTACACGTCATGATTATTGATTGAGCTACAATCAGGTTAAAGTTATGAAACAACTACAGCAGGTTTCGGGGTTTATTTATCTAAAAGATAGGATGACACAGTTCAACTAACAAAGGCACAGTCTGACTTCAATTTCAATTTTTTTTTATTTATACAGCACCAAATCACAACAGCAGTCGCCTCAAGGCGCTTTGTATTGTAAGGCAGACCCTACAATAATAACTTCAAGAATCTGTCACATATGACTGACATCAGTGCACAACATCAGTTTGGTTCCTCTCACAGTGTTCAAGTACACCAATCAGCCATACATTAAACCCACAGGTAAAGATAATTACCTTGTTACAATGAAATTCTGAGTCATTCATAACAATCAGAGATACACTCAAATGTTGTTGCAGTCCAGGCACGACCCCCTAAGGTAAAGTGACCGCCCCGTCAAAGGGAAGGGGAAGAGCAAGCCTGACTCACAGGTCCCAACCCCTCAATGCATCGGACCCAAAGGATCTGCTGCCAGACACTACAGGACAAACCCAGAGGTCCCATATACAGACAGAACAACAAGTGTCACAATAACCTCGTAATGATGAGGGAAATGTCAGTAATGCCCATGTGATGATATTACTTTTTCCCATGATTTATACAGTTATGTAAAATACTAATAAACACAAAATCAATAAAAATACAGATATTACTTCTCAGAATTGTTTTGGGGGCGTGGGAGGGACCTACATGATTATAAGCAGGTAGTTTTAATGTTGTGGCTGATCAGTGTGCAACTGCTTTCAGCTTTCTAACATAGATTTGTTCATTGTTTTAGACTCAATAATTTTAGACAATAATAATATGTACTGTGAAAATTTTATCATGTTTCACCACAAACTTACATGAATGCTGCTAGTTTAACTACACAAACTGACACTAAGCCCTTCGGTGGGCCTTAGGGTGACAGAGTCTACCTTCTTGTCGTTGCCGCTCATGCGATCTTTGGCTTCTTTGGCTTTCTGAATGGCTTTCAACACTTCCACAGTGTCCAGCTCCTTTTCCGTCGTCGCATTACAGTCCAGGCAAACCTAAAAACATAGAAAGAAATAAAGGATTAACACAAAGATAAAAACGTGGAGAACAGAAAGACAAGCACTGTGGTGAAGTGGATGATGCAAGTGTCCTTTCTGACTGTAAGAGCAGTCAGAAAGGACTGGAGAAAAAAAAGTTGTGTTTGCCGAAACAGTAATAGCATAGGAGGAATAATATTGTGTGGTAGGTTTTGGTTGCACACCTCTGCTGCACGATCCCCAAACTGGGCCAGGACTTTGGTTCTGTAGTCTGGGATGATGCATATGGGGTTACTGGACAGGTTGAGTTTCTCCAGACAGGGCAGAGAGCCGATGTTCCTGATTTCCTCCAACTAGAAAAATACAAACACACGGTGAAAACATGACGCTGCAAACCTCAGCCAAGGCTGCACACCCCACCTGAATCAAAATCTTTGGTCCAGACAGAACTTCGTTTATGATGTTTTTGGGGTTTTTTTAATATTAAGAGGACGTCTTTCAGTTTTTATTATTTCTACGTTACATTAATTCCTGGATCTAGTTCCAGAACTTTTAATCCTCTTAGTTGAACCCATATCCAGCTCTGGTAAAATGATCTATCCGCAAATCTATCCATTAATATTTCTATACACTGAAGCATGAAATAGTATTTTATAATTTATAAGTAATGTTGCTAAGAAAAGGGTGAAACAGTGGAATCATATAAAATCTTTGGAGGCGTTTACAAACCAAGGTGTTAACGAACTCTTGTAAATATCAAGATTTTTTATTTATTTATTTTTTAAAGCTATGATCAGACTTATTGTTCGGAAGTACAGCAGGTTTATACTTCTTAAGGCAATTCTTCAAGAAAAGGATACCAACTGAGAAGGAAGAAGCCCTATATATTATGTAAAGTAGAATAAAATGTCAGGTTTAATCATTTCAATACTCGTTTACATCTTTTATATACATGTTTTTTGTTTTCTCTAGTTTTTTAATACAATTTTTACACAGCAATGTTAAAAAAAAAAACTGAGGAGGAAATGTTAGATATGCCGTCTTGCAACAAACCATGAAAAGAGAAATGTTTTTGTATTCTCCCACATGGCCATCAGGGTGTCCTTGGTGTACTTACCTGTGCCAGTTGGTTGTGGCTTAAGTCCAGGCTGACCAGAGAATAGAGCTTGGTGAGACCGGTCAGTCGGTCCAGCTGGTTGCCAGCCAGGTTCAAGGTTTTGATGTTCCCCAGACGAGTGTGAGCTGCTTCCAGAACCCGGAGGTTGTTATAGGACAGATCCACGTGGACCAGATTGTACAGGTGCTGTGAACACAAGGAGGTCATTTTTGTTTACACATTTTTTTAAAATAACACACATTTAACACCACTACATTGCTGCAGTGACATTTAAGACTATAGAAATTGTCCAATCATCCTGAAAATAACAACGTTGTTCATTTTATCAACTATAAAAATATTTTTGGATGTTTCAAGAATTATGCAGACGGTCATATGAGGCATGACCTGTCCTCATTCTTCATTCTGTCACATACCTGGAGGTTTTCCACTGAGGACAGCTGGTTGTAGCTCAGATCCAGAAACTCCACCTTAGGCATCAGTTTCTACAAGAGAAATAAACTCAGTGTGGGGATACGGGGCTCTGGCTGTGAGCACAGAAGCATCACAGAGCTGCTGCTTAAACCTTCTGTTTGCAAGTGACAGCTAATAAGCAGAAAGTTGGTTTGAAAGGAACGGCATTAAAAAACTGGGAAAAACTTCCCCATTACAAAATAAACAAGGATTGTTTTAAATAATGAAAAAATATGATGGTGAAATAAGCATGATATGTCCCCTTTAATAATTTACACGCAAAACCGAGGAATATACAATCTTCCCATTGAACCTTTTGTGATTTCCTGTCTCTTTGGGGCTAAAAGAGGCCACCCGAACACATCAGATATCAATGGAAAGCTCAAGATGTTCTCTATTTAATACGTCATGTCCATTACGGGGGACGTAAATGAATAGGCTGATTCTCAGGAGCTGTAACTGCAACAGCTTGTTTCTGTGACTGAAAATAACAGAGGAGAGCTGTGAAAAAAAAAATCATCATTATGTAGTTTGGTGTTAGGTTTTGTCCATCAGTGTGTTACGATATCTGGGTGGAAATTTTCTGTTTGTTTTTTAAAAAACTATTTTTTCTTACAGCAGAAATCTCACATTATTATGTTGTTTAATTAAACAGACAAAAACTTACAATGTGTATCATCTGGTAATGTTATTATGTAACATTTTATCTGTTATGTGGTGTATTTTTCCATTATTTCACTGTGAGGAAAACAAACAAAAACTGCTTTTAAACATAATTACTGACTGAACTCTGGGTGAAGCTGCTGATGTTGCAGGTTTTGGCGGGTGTGTGTCTCACCACTGAGCTGTCGATGCTACTGATGCAGTTGTGACTCATGTCCAGCGTGGTGAGATTTCTCCACACGGGGATGACAGCGGTGACCGGACACCCAGACTCCACCCCCTCAGGCTCCCACTGCGAGAACTCACTCGCCTCTGGGACGAGGACAGACTGAGGCGTCACATAAATGAAACACGTCAGTATCAGTATAGTGCAACACACAACAGTAATACTGTTCATGTACTGTATTTGATCTAAAATGTACCATCATAGATTCGGTGGAGCGATGGATGCTCATCGTCACCAAGCTCGACCTCAGAGAGGACAAACCAAGAATCTGCTGAGAGCTGCACTCGGTGATCTGAAGACAGACACAGCTTTTAACATTGTTAAAAGCTGAAGGACTTATCTTACCACTGATCATTTACATTTGGATAAACTTCAAAGAGTGATAAGGGATACTGCGTCAGCATCTCCTATTCTTTTTTCTGTTTGAACTCTGAAGTGAAATTCAGATTAAAATAAAATTATTCAGATCAACAGCTGAGCTTTTTTTCCACAGTGGACACAAAGAAACAAATAAACAAGTTATTATTTTGTTTGTTATCTTTTTATGAGTTTTTATCTTCCAAGTAAAAAAGTACAATTTAGTTCGACATCAAATGACTCTAATAACAGGTATTTATAGGCATCAGCTCCACTCATAGGCAGCCGTAGGCTCTGCCAGCCTCGTCTTCATTAACTGGAGTCCCCGTACTGGACCTCACAATAATGTTTCTGCTGCTGGTGCCTTTGGAATCAATTTAACAAAATTCCCAAAATTCCCTATGGCTTGTTGTGAGATAGAGTCTAGCCAAGAAGTGTATGCTTCAATTTCAGTGAATAAAATTCAAGTTTTATTCATCTGTTGCTTACAGTGTCTGTGAATGGCGGAGACGGAGATTTGTGGAAAAAGCCATCCGGTCTCTTGACATAAACTTCCCTCAGCCACTCGCTCATTTTCTCTTCGTCCATCCAGCCCTCTGAGTTAGCTTTGACGATGACGCCGGCCGGAAACTTTTCTTTTGGCAAAGTCTTCCTCTTGAAAATGACCATGGGTGGTAGTTTCTGGCCATTAGCTTGGCAGCCCAGACCTACAGTGAAGGATGACTTCTCGTTCCCTGTGGTGTGTATAGATACCGTACTGGTCCCTGTTTTCTCGACAGTACGGTTCACGGGGATGTCAAAGGTGAGGGGGACCTCGTCCATGTTAGTGATGTGTTCTGGCCGGATCTTCTTTTCAGTGATCTTATTCTGGCAGTACGTGCGGAAAATGGCCAACTTTTCTTTGTAATCGTTTGGCAGTTGCTGTGAGACAGTAGTTCTTGTGCGGATTGAGAGATTATGCCTTTTCATAAAACAGAAGCACCAAGAATGTCCCCCTTGAAAGTCGTTGATCTGCATGTCACGTGCTACCGCTGTTGCCTTGAGTCGAATAGAGACTGTAGAGACACTTCTACCTGCTGTTCTCTGTTCAATAACCCACTGTTCAATTTTGTCCTCTAACTGCGGCCATCGTGCCTTGTTCCCTCGGAAACTCCTTTTGGTCTTCTTTACTTGTTTTAGGTCATCTTTTTGCTTCCTCCACTTGCGCACCATGGACTCATTAATGCCGAATTGTCTGGCAGCTGCTCTATTTCCATTCTCTTCTGCATAACTAATTGCTCGAAGTTTAAAATCAGCTTCATAAGCGTGTCTCTTCGCGGGTGCCATTTTGGAGTCGTTATACACACACAACACGGTAATGTTGTGTTGAAGCACAGTATGTATTACTCCGCGAGGCTCCTGGCAATGGTAACCGTAATGCTCCAAAAAGTGGCACTAAAAATCTTTTTTTGACAGATTTTTGAGCATAGTGTGCCACATAAAACCGGTTCGAGGTCAGTAAGCACAAACCAAAATTCATACATAAGGCGTACCAGATTATAAGGCGCACTGTCAATTTTTGTGAAGATTTAAGGATTTTACGTGCGCCTTATAGTGCGGTAAATACGGTACATAAAAACAGACAAAACATATTTCATGGACAGAGAGACCGTTACCTCTATTTGCAGCAGGGATTTGAAAACAGACAGGTCAAAGGGGAGACTCGCCTCCTGAATATTACTGGTTCCTACTGGACCTCTGGTACCAGAAATCTGAGAAACAAAGACAAAAACCAGTGAGAGCCTTCACCACCTCTGATGCTCAGAGGGAAACGACATGACAGGAATTTCTGGTGTATAAGTAGTGTATAACCTTGAGGTATCGCAGCCTGCAGGTGAAGTCGAGGATGTGTCCCAGGTCTGTTTTGGCATCGCCATTGCAGCAGGTTGGTTTGGCCATCCGCAGTTGCTGGGAGACGGAGAAGAGCTGCAGAGGACGGAGAGAAAACACCTCGCCGGCCTGCAGCAGCTGCTCACCTACAGACAGACAGTGTGACACTGCTCACTGTACAAACCAGGTGTGTCAAATTCATCTTTTCATTCTTTTCATTTTAAAACAAACAATAACAAAAAAGAGCTCCACAATTACTTAAATGTATAATAAACAACATGAACCATCTTTTTAAACATTTAGAAAAAAATCTTATATATTATCTTATTTTGCTTGAGTATACAGTTATTACATGTATATTACAATTTTAGAGTATTATGGAGCTACACACAGTTGTACTTTACTCTTTACTACGTATTGAAATCTAGAAATCGTTTTAACTTTCGATAAATGCTGAGTGGAATCCTGCAGTGGCATCCTCACACAGGAGTCAATATTTATGATTCAAACATTTTCAATAAAAAAAAATAGAATTATGAATGAGGTCAATACAATTTTCACACACTGCAAATACACTGTCTGCCTATTTGGACCCTAACATGTCACATGTAAGACACCCTTGGTCTACACACTTGTTATTTTCTTTGCAGGAAGCTTCAAACGGTTATTTACAAATCAGATGTTAACAAGACCTCTAAAGCAGGTCCACTGTGTCTGCTATCCTACCTTTATGGAACAACTCCTCTGCCAGTGCTGCAGTGATGCCATTGATTTCCTGGAAGAGCAAAACAAATTATAGTAACTTTAAAATAACTAACAGTTGTCATTACTTGAACATGGAGCCATCACCTACAAATTAACTGAATTAACAACATTAGGTCGTGTTTGGACGATGACACAATAAGAAACACCTGAGATAAGATTTTATATAATCGTCGCTATTTTCATTAGTCTGTTACCAGACATAGTAGTTGTTTATTCTAATTGTTAACACTGTCACTGATGCACAGTGCTGGTAAATTGTTGCACTGTAAATGTTAGCCACCATCTGCCACCAGATGGAGCATTTTTGTTGACAAATACCTTAAATCTGTTAATCTAGGCCCGATCTTTTTGTTAACACTTTCATTGTTAGCTCTTTTTAAGGGGAAAGAATGAGATTACGGATACAAGCGGTGGAAACAGGCTTTCTCCGAAGGGTCGGCTCTTTTTTAGCATAGGGTGAGGAGTCCAGTCATTTGGGAAGGGCTCAGAGTAGAGCTGCTACTCCTCAGGTTCTCTAACATCTGTTAGACGTCGTCTGTGAGTAACAGCAAATAGAAAATATTTCTACGCCCATTTTACATTCAAGCTTTTTATTATATTACATTTAGATTCTGAATTACTGAATCACTTTTAATCACCTTTCAACGTTTTTCAGTTTCTTAAAAGTCCGTCTTTATTATAACTTCTCCCCTACCATCCTTGTATTTTACTAATATTTCTTTAATTCTGTTTCTTCTACTGTAAATTGACTTGATACTAATGTTGACACAGATGCAGATCATAGGTCACACTCTATATTGATTCCTGATCTATTTTCTATGTGGGGAAAAAAAGGTCTTTGAAGTTTCTGAGTCTGAACACAAAGTGAAACGCTTGCATATGACTGAGGTATGCAAAAACTCCACTGATATGAGTTTTACGTCACTGTTAAACAATGCAAAATGACAGAAAGATACACCAGCAATGATCTATAAACAAAAAAAGCTTGGAGCCATGCAAATGCAACCGGTTTATGATTCCCATCACTATGGCTGATCATCATTTCTTTACTGATGCTTTCACAAAAGTTTTTTTAAAAACTTCAAATAACATTAACACAAATCAACCTGCAACCATGTTTTAAAAAAGTTTGCCTGCAGACACCTGGATCTGTCAGCTGTCTTCCTTTCAAACACATTACACTTTGATGTAACCGAACATTAAACAGAAGATACAGATTCCCACTATCATTCCAAACAAAGTTATCCGCTACAGTCACATGCTGTTCACTTCAAGTCACATGAGAGGTTTTCCTGTGTGTGCTTTGCCGTGCAGGCTTCTCAAACAGTGGCCTCTTTTTGTTAATCCATTATCGCCATAATGTGATCACTGTCTCTGTCATCACAAAGCCTCAAACCACTGTGTGTGTTATACAAGACTGATCTATCAAAGAAAATTAAGTCACAGAAATTATATAATACAAAGAAACAGAATATAATAGTTATTCTTGATACATGGATTCAGTTTTATCAACTGTTCAGCCCAGCTCACTTACAGAGACCCCAGTGGTTTCTTTCAATGGGCAACTGGGCCATTCGTGTAGCATTGAGATTTTATCTACATCTAAATTTGTTGCATGATGAACTCGTGTGAAACTGTGACAAACCTAACAAAACCATCAGCTCTCTGCCTCCTGATGTTAACCTGTATAATCAGTCAGCTCAGTATGATGAGAAATGAGCCACAGAGTGAGAAATCCATGATCAGTTTTTTTTAGATGTTTTCACTCTTGGCTAAATTAAGGGCTTTGTTTTGCTGAACTCTGTATAAGGCTAATATAAAACAGGCTAGCTATCAAATCTAACAAGGTGACAGTGAACTTTGGGATTAGTTTTCAACCAAGCCTAGACGTTGAGAAAAGACCAGTTAAAGATGGTTATTCAGTATTGTTTGCTGGGATGACGCTGTGGGATTAGAACATTACCGAGGGTAATGTCTTCATCCGTAAGAAGGCTGTAAAACTGACAGTGACTCAGAGCTCGGGATGAAAGTTGCAGCCAAACTCATGACGTGATCAATTCTTACAAACACAGCATTCATTGTGCAAAACACTGTGACACGTACAAACATGATGTATTTTTTAGACTTTATCAGCACGTTTTGCAGCCCTTAAATGGAAGAATAGTCCACTTCACCATGACTTTCCTTCATAAAAGCTACTAAATAATTTCTTTGTATTATTTAGGAGAGTCCAATAAAATACACTCAGTTCAAGTTCATCAAAAGGGCTCAGTATTTTTTATTTGAAACATTGTCTGTAATTTATTGCGATTGAGGTTAAATTGTTAATAATGTTTTAAACTTTATATATATTTTATACATGATTTACATCCTCACATACTGTTATTATGAGTCTTTTTTAAATACGATGTTGTAGATTGTTTAATCAGGCCTATAACTGATGGATGGTGTCTTGTGTTTACTGTGATGAACTGCTTTGACGTTAATCTTAAATGAAGAGACTTTTTCTCAGGAGTGGGTGCCATGTGTTTGGGCTTATGTCACTTCAGGATAGTGTTTTGAAACCTGTTTCTATAATGTTATACTGAAGCTTATACGTACCGATAGCTGTAATTGTGCTGATTGTTCGAAGGGAATGCTTTTACATTCAAGAGAGATAAAAAACTGTTTTACTGTGGTATTATACTGTAATTCTTTGGCTCTATAAATTTGAAATTCTCAAAATCAGGAGCATATTTGAGAGATGAACTGATGTAAATATGTTATGATTAAAAATAAAAATGAGATATTACTGCTACTGCTTGTAGATTCTCTGTTTAAGAAAAAAACTCTAAGCTGGAAAACTTAAGTGCAAAACATTTAACACAAAATAAGGTCAATTAATCAAGACAGCAGGACAAAACTAAATAGTTCAATAGTTCAGTCTTGCTGTGTCAACAGTTAACGTTTTGTTTCAACACGAAGTCGTATGTTGAAATAGGAAGAAAAAAAGTGTTTGACTGGTTTTGTCTGAAGAACCTGACTAGTCTGCACAAAGTCTTTATCTCAAAAGTGTCTAACAGATTTAAAATGAATGGGAACATCTAGATCTTATCAACCAGCATGACTCTCTGACCTTGTTTTCTTTGCTGTAGTGAAGACCTAACAGACCTCCACTCCAAACTGAGGTTATTCTAAATCATGAACTGCACACTTGTTTATAGGTTGTACTCACATAGAGATGAAAATGTAGGAAGTTGGTGAGCGGTGTGGGCGTGGCTTGAGGAAACTGCTGGAGAAGAGTCTGCAGGTAGAGCTCCAGCTCCTTCTGCCGCCGCTCCACCAGACTCTTTGAGTTCTTTCCCAAGATCTTCTTAGGAGGAAGCAGTCTTCTATCAACCTTTTTCTCTGCCGTAAGCTTAAGCGGAAACAAACATCAGGAGTAAAACCAGGTTTGATTTTCATAATAAAACAATCCTGCAGCCAAGAAACAAATGTTTCCTAGGTGCAGAGAGCATAAAAAGTTGTAGCTATTCTCCATTTTATATCATTGTAATTTGATAAGACTTATCAGAATGCCATTCAAACAAGAGAGAAATTGGCATAAAAAAATTTGAGGAAATTGTTAGAGATATTTTTATGAACACAATTTATAGACAGTAAATTGTCCTATTAAAAGGAGAGAGAAAAACTACAACAAGTGCTAAAGGTAGTTAGCATTGTTGTCTCACAGCAAGAAGAGCCTGGAATCTAATCCACCATCAGGGGTTAGGTTAACTGGTGATTCTAAATTGCTCATAAGTGTGAATGTGTCCATCTCTCTGTGTTAGCCCTGTGACTGTAGTTTACTAGAGAATTCAGACTAAAAAACTGAACTGTTGATGGTGGCATAAGGCTGCTCACTGGCCCACTTTATTACCTTCTCATGGAGGTCGTAGAAATCACTATAGCGGTGCTTCACAGTCCACCTGTGCTGTCCATCCGTCACATCAATGATGTAGACCTGAAACATCAGAGAAGCATATATTAAAATCTGTGACCCAGCAGAGGATTCCTGCATATAAAAATTTTTAATCTCCACCAAAGAGGTTTGGAATTTCTGCCAAAGGAAAATCACCAAGACTATAATAAAATATTCTTGACCAATTACATTTTAAGTGGGTTTAAATTCATGAAATCGTTAAAACATTTTACCAAATAACAGAAAATTCACAGCACACTTATACGTGTTTGCTTGTTTCCAGGATCAGATGAACCCAAATGTTTCCTGAAGGAAGAACTTCAACGTACAGCTGTTGTATTTAAAATGCAGTCAGGGTGGCTATGTGGTGACTCACTAGACAAAAATGCCAGAAATCGTCAAATGTATCACACCTAAAATAAATAAAAATGTATTGAACTAGGGGGACAGTTGACACTTAATTCAAGCATTCAGGCTCTTTGTGGATTAAAAGCATCTCTTCAATTCAGAAAAACATGGCAAAAAAATATTATGTGAACAAATCACTCTCCCATATTAAGCTCCATTCAGATGAAAACGTGTGGTGACATTACTTGTTTTTAAAGCTGAGTGACCTATATTAATAATCAATTCAAAATCTGATGTTTTTTCTCTGTCCTGCTGTCTTGAGAAAGGATTTAACTTACAAGAGGCAACAGGAGCAAATCGGGTTATCAGCCACATTAAATAGCACAGAGTGTTACAACACACAGCACACTGTCATACAAGAAAGGAACAGAAAATGACTGAATCCGTAAAAGACTATCAGATTTACACATTCAAGAGGAAACACTGTAACCCAACCGAAACCGTGTGTGAAAATTAAGGCAGCAGTTAGCAGTTAGCCTGTGAGCTGCTCTTTCGGCTGCTTTTACCATGCTCTGAAGAATAAAGACATAAAGCCCGAATCCATCTCCATGTTAAGTCCAGTACAACACACCCACTGTCTGGGGAACTCAGAAATATTACTCGCTGTTTTTCCGATAGACCTGGAAGCCGGGAGAGCTACAAGCTAAGCTAACTGGTATTAAGCTAAAAAGAGCGGAGCGGAGCTTACAGTGTAGTTTTCCACCAACTCTGAGCCGACAACAGATACTTTTCTCTCCGAAACCTCCTCCGTAAACGGGACAGGCTCCATGCTGTGATCAACGAGAGCAGATTATCTATTACTGAGGAAAACGGTTGCTAAAGATGCATAGCGTTCCTTTTCAGTCAGCCGCCTCCTGCCGCCATGTTTGTTATGATGCTGAACGAAGCAGGTGACTGGCTGACAAAAAAAACTTTATTTAAAAGTTGTTTAGTTACAGTCACCTTTAAAAAAAAGTTTGCTTTTTTCTTTTCTTGATTCTTGAAAATAAATAAATAAATAAATAAATAAATAAATAAATAAATAAATGATGTTATATTAAAATATGGAGATGAGCATGTGTCATTACTATAGCCACGCCTTGTTTGGTGAACTGATCACCCCGATTCGTGTTTCAGCTGCTCCCTTCAGGTTTCCCCACAGCGAATTATTTGACACACCCTATCCCCATCACCCTCCTCTGCCACACCAGCAGTCGGCATGGGCTCCTTCACATGAATCTCCTCTGTAGTCTTTCTGTTTTCCACATGCCTGCAGCTCCATCTTCAACATCCTTTGTCCAGTATATTCACTATCCCTCCTCTGCACATAATCTCAGCCTCGTCTCTCTAACTTTATCTCCAAACTGCTCAACCTGAGCTGTCCCTCTGTGGTACTCATTTCTAATCCTGTCCATTCTAGTCACTCTAACCTAACCTAGCTTAAACAGCTCGTCCCCACGTATTCATGGTATGGCTCAGCAGCTTTATCCCTGTGTAGTTTCTACGGCTCTGGGGTGTGTTAAACAATCTTGTTTAAAAAAAAAGTCTGCTACACTCTCTGCTACACATCTCCATTTATTTTCTTGGATGGGTTACATTAAAGCTACAGCTTACATTAAAGATAAGCCTAATTTCCTTAGTTGGTTTTAAGCCACTCCATTTAACGGTCACAAGGGGTCACTGTGCTGTAGCATATTTGCAGGCTTGATGTGGTCCTCCATTGTGTTTGATTTGTTGACTAAAATTAAATTAAATACACATATTTTGAACTGGAGAGCCTGTGGTGAAAAAATGAATGAAAAAGGAATTCAACTCTAAAGGGCTCCTTATTTTTTTCAGTCAACACTAAAGATGAAATCCATCCTTTCTTCTTCTGATTAGATGACAAATCTAAAACGTCACTTAGCAGCCCTTTCACAGGTTGGCATGCTCACAATGACAGTAATCTTTACCTTGCTTACCTTCTTCATTTTCTAGGAAGACAGGCCATCATTTCCGGAACAGCATTTTAACACAATCTGTTATTAATTATTTGCACAAATATTCCCAAGATGTGGAATATATACAATACACAAGTGTTCATTCAGCAGTGCTAGCAATTACACTGTTACATGATCTGTTTAAGACAATTAACAGAAGAAGGACATACACACACTCAAAGACACCAAAAGTAACAATAACCAGGAAAACTAATTTAAAAACAAAAAACATACAGTTTTGAAGTTTTGTTTTGTTTTTGAGCAAGACTTCAGATAAGGATATGTATATTTTTTATTCTTACTAGACATTTCACTAAATTTAAATAAAGGCCTAAACTGCTGTACTAGAAACACACTGGTAGAGGGAGTACACGTTGTACGCTCCGTTTGCACGTGTATTTGCACCCGTTACTTTTGCTTGTGTTTGAACATGTTGGACCAGATGATGGCGCTGGATATCAAATTATTACCAAGGTTCTTGCAGTTCGAACAGTATATCCTGTGTTTAAAAAGTGTTTTAAAATGTCTCTTCAACCCTATCCTGCAGTAGTTGTTGACATATTACAATAAAATAACAGATTTCAACCTCAACCTCATGTTGACGCTAAATATTTTAAAAAGGTGAGTTGATCGAAAAAAGCAAGTAAAAGTCTGTGCAGAATTTGAAGAAAAAGACGAATGCCTTTTCATTGTAACTATACACACGTACAAAGAGATACAGAGCATCTCCTACTCAGTGCATTTTATTTTAATCTAGTCAAAGCCTTTAAAGTTAAGCAGGGGTTTATGGCATAACTTTATCTACTTTAGAAGTGCAGAGCAAAGCAACACTTGGAGTATATGACCACCTTAAAAGTTGTTATTTAACCTCTTCAAAGCTGTCAATCTAAACCAGGCTGTCTAACTAGCTTGCATAGATTATCCTTAATTATTTTGAATAAGTTACCCATTTACAAGACTGATAATGAGTACCTTGGAGCATGTTAAGAAAAACAAGCCTGTTCCTCAGTTTTTCCACAATCATTTTCAGATCCCAGGAAAAGAAAGGACAGACAAGTTCTACCCTAGATCTAGAATTAAATAATAAATGAACTTTATTGAAAATTAATGAAACCCAGTTGGCCCAGTCGGCCCCAAGTTTGACACCTCTGGTTTGAACCGAAGTTGTGAGACTGGTGTGCTCTCTTCGAGGAAGCCATTTTAGAGCACAAATGAATACGTACAAAGTTATTCGCTACCATTAATTACAGTGGTTTATATAGAAAACTGCTGTCCTCGGACGGATCTTTCGGTAATGCTGTGATACTCTGAACTGTTGTGGGCATGGTCCATGTACAAGGCCGTAAATAACGGCTGTCAGACTGCTACGGTGACTACTCCAGTCCGCTCCGATTGTTGTAGCTGTACGTGACCACTGTCTTTCCATGGGGAGGGGGCGGGGGAGAAGGAACAGCAGCAGCTGGGCATCAGATTTCAACTGCCAAAACTAAGGCGGACTGAACCATCACTCGGCGGGGAGGATGCTTTCTGTGTGTCACACCACATCTTTTTAACATAGCTACAGTAGCTTCATATCGGTATTTAGGTACTTTACATTGAGGTTTAGAATAAATGACCGACAACATATGTCATATTACAATGTTTCAAATGGGAAACGGAGACGCGTGAAATGACATCTCCCCCCGCCTCCTTCTACGCAAATGAAATCTTCCAGCTCCTTATAATAACACCGAGAAGACGGCAGCTCCACAGTCAGTGATGGTAAGCGCTCAGTTTGATGTTGCTACAGACTTAACTCAGAGAAAAAACACCTTAAAATCAGCGAGACGACTCTCAAAACTATTACCCCGCTCACTTCAGTTCACTAATCAGAGCTGCAAGGAGCTGATTTCACTTTCAGAAAGGGGTGAAAAAAAGAGACATTAGAGAGACAGAGAAGGGCGTTACAGAGAGCCAAGCGAGCAGACAAGCTGCTGCTGCAAGGGGAGGCAGAGGAGGCTATGCACCAGCCGAAGCCAGAGGTCAAGAAAAAAAGTGAAAAAATAGTCAAAAGGTAGACTACGGTCATTTGTGATCTGAGCCACACATCGAGAAACGATCCTCGCATTGTTGTTGTTGAGTGAGCAACCGAGTGAGGAGGAGGATGTGAAGGAGGTGTAGCTGAGAGGCGACATCAAGAAAGGAAAGGAAACAAGGAAATGCTCTCAGAGAAGATGTGCAGGAGTATCTGCGAACACCCCAAGCTGCTGCAGGACGGGAACGAGGCTCTGCAGAGGGACGGCCGCAAGAAGCACGGCTGGTCCAAGAGCTGCAGGGGGCGCCTGCAGGGGCGGAGGATGAGCAGAGGAGGGTGGCCGAAAGGGCGCAACCACCACCACTATCACCATCATCAACATCACCACCACCATCATCATCCCCGACACCACCAGAAGCCGGCGCTGTCCCTTCGTCCCGTCAACGTGAAGGGGAAGAGGGTGAGGGGGATGCAGGCCCCCAAGAACACCAACCAGTTTTTGATGCATGAGAAGTACGAGATGCTGCACATGCGCTGTGACTCAGTGGGGAGCGATAGCGGCTGCAGCTCCGACAGCGACATGGAGCTGACGGACATGGACTCATACCTGGGCGTCCTGGAGAATGCCAGAGGAGCCCTCTTGGACAGTCCCAACCCATACGGCTCAACATCGCCTCCGGGACCGTTTGTGGTACTGCACGAGGACCCTCTGTGCATGCACGAGGGCAGCTTGCTTCTGCATGAAAGCAGTCTGCGTCTCCAAGAGGAGAGCATGCAATATTTCCCCTCTGAAGACGACCTTATGCAGAGCCAGAATTTCATGCAGAAGGACTTTGTTGAGTTCTATGACATCCTGACACCCTGAAGGGAAACTTTCAGGCGGACATTTTGTTTTCACCAAGACTGAACCTGCTCAGGTTTGTCCTGCTTTATGTTCACAGAAAGAAAAGTCTCCTTTCTTCTTCTTTTTTAACGACAGGCAGCCTTAACATCTGGAGAATTTGCTTGCAGGATGGAATGATTCAACTGGTTTCCAGCAGAAATTAACTTATTTTTTTTAAACTGAGTGTAATTTTTTTTCAATCATTCCTGCAAAGCACTGCCTCTTTGTATTTTTGAGAACCGCACTCACAATAGGTTAAATTGTCTCACTCCGCTGGTATTCTTCCAGGTTTAAAACGTAACTTTTGCGGATTCCTGTCTTAAATTGAGTTAAGACGGTTTATTTTTTCCTGTTGTTGACTGGTTAATGTGTGGTTATGTACCGTGTGTCTGGGTGCTGTAAAGTGCTTCCTTTCTGTTATTGTTGTTATACACAAAAGGAAATGGGCTGGATGGTGGGAGTGAACCCAAACAGCCAATCGGCTTCGAGCTGACTGGATTAGGCTTGAGGTGATTGGCTGATGAACATTGTCTGTGACAAAAGCATTTGGCTGTAAAGAATAAAACAAAAACCCAATAAATATCTGAATAATATAAAGCGGGCTGATTGTTTTTATGAATGCTAAGAGCCTGTAGAGGCAGTGTGTCACTGTGTCATTAGGACAGCTCGAATAAGACCCTGTAAAATAAATGGTCAGATTTGTTGTAAGAGTTCACATGAGACTGTGTGAGCGAGGAAGAGAGATTGGTGAATGAAATAAATTCATGAAATCTGCATCACAAGCATTCAAACCATTTAAACAGGACATGAGACACATTTGTCACAAATTAAAGAAAACATTATAAAATCCCGTATAAATACCCCAAAATCAAGTTCTTAGTGCAACAGTGACATACAGCTGCAGGCAAATTTATTAACACATCATAAAACAAGGTGCTAAATGCACACACATCTCTCCAGCATTTGTTTTCAAGAGTTCAAATGCGTTTTCATTGCAT